GGTCTTTTGGTGTTGCTGAGCTCACCGGTGCGTTCCTTCTTTTTAAGAATGTTCCAAACAGTTGTTTTGGCCACGTCTAATGTTTTTGCTATCTCTCTGATGGGTTTGTTTTGTTTTTTCAGCCTAATGATGGCTTGCTTCACTGATAGTGACAGCTCTTTGGATCTCATCTTGAGAGTTGACAGCAACAGATTCCAAATGCAAATAGCACACTTGAAATGAACTCTGGACCTTTTATCTGCTCATTGTAATTGGGATGAGGGAATAACACACACCTGGCCATGGAACAGCTGAGAAGCCAATTGTTCCATTACTATTGGTACCTTAACAAGTGGGAGGCACATTGCAAACTGTTGTAATTCCTACACCGTTCACCTTATTTGGATTTAAATACCCTCAAATTAAAGCTGACAGTCTGCAGTTAAAGCACATCTTGTTAGTTTCATTTCAAATCCATTGTGGTGGCGTATAGAGCCGAAAATGTTAGAATTGTGTCGATGTCCCAATATTTATGGACCTGACTGTAGCTTTCCCTTCTCCCGGGTGTTTCTGTAGACTCCTCTGTGCACTGTTTGTACACCAAGTGCTTCCAATGTGCAAGTGAACATACACGCGACATCCAACACAGTGCACATGCTATGCTTTTGGTCTGTGCCGCTGTGTGCGGTACGTTGACTGTTGTGCCTCTAAATCTGACCGGCACAGAATCAGAAATCTCAGAGTGATCAGCCAGTTACTGTTCAAGGCCATTCACGCTGAAAACTGTTTATTTCTGATCTGCCGGTTGATCGGTCGGTGCATCTCTATAAATATTAAAAGTGTTTTTGGGAGACCTTAATCCAGTGTCACTTTCACCAGATTGCTCTCATGTTTTCTCATGACTTATAATACATTGTTTAATGTAATGAAATTGACACATTAAGTTTTTGTTCATTAGGTTAATGTTTCTGCCTCCCAGGTGCAGCAGGGCAGCCCTTCTTCTGTCAGCTCGGTCAACACGGAGCACTCGTCATGTTCACTGAAGCCTGCTGCTCTTCACATGCTACACAAAGCATCACAGGTACTTAACACACTGTTGGGGCTGGCTGGCCATTTTTCTGATGTAACTCTATTATAATTCACAAGGCAGTTGTTAAATAGTTGGCATATAAACCAACCAGAAACATCAGTAACTGGGAGATATAAGAAGAGACTACTTGTTGCATTACTTTGGTCACTGTTTTATGCATCATTAACATAATCACTGTTTTTGTGCTCACTGTCCTGTAGTCTGACCTTACTATAGAGAAACTAACGGCAATGGAGAACAACAAGAACTCTGACCTGGAGAAGAAGGAGGGTCGAATAGACGATTTGCTGCGGGTACTAATCTCATTACATTTCATCCCTGCTACTCTGCTTGCCATTTTCAGTGGTTCTGAGAATGCTATGTTCTCTGTCTTATTATTTTTTATTTTTTTTTTGCTCAAGGCATGTTAGAGTTTGCACATTCCTTTTGTTTGTACATGCATAAACAAGTTATAATTTTCTTTCCTCCTCATTCATGTTTTGCTCCAGACAAACTGTGATCTGAGAAGACAAATCGATGAACAACAGAGGATGCTGGAGCGATACAAGGAACGCTTAAATAAGTGTGTGACCATGTCTAAGAAGCTGCTGATTGAAAAAGTATGTTTATCTAATAGCATTGTGACTGATTTGAAGCTATTATTTTCCAAAGTGAGTGGGTCATTTTGGGTTATGACATGAACCAGTTTTAGAAGCCCTAGTTTAAGCTGTGTGGAATTGACAGCTCAGATTTGCTATCTGTATTTCTCTGTGCGCTTCCTTCAGTCCAAACAGGAGAAGATGGCATGCCGGGACAAAAGCATGCAGGACAGGCTCCGACTAGGTCACTTCACCACAGTGAGACATGGCGCGTCTTTCACTGAACAGTGGACAGATGGCTATGCCTTCCAAAACCTTATCAAGTGAGGATCTTCATTTTTTAACTTTAAGCATCTCCTTTCACACTCTGTGTTCTATTTCAAGAAGTAAAATCAGGCCAGAAAGAAGAACTTACTTCTCTACATATGATATATATGATTCATTTATCTTTAATTATTAACACAGGCAGCTTAACATTAACCAGGTATTCAGAGAATTTATTGTAGATCATACATGGGCAAAAAAAAAGAAAATAATTAGGTCTGTATGTTGCACTAATGTATTATCTGTTTCCAGACAACAGGAAAGGATCAACTCACAGCGAGAAGACATTGAAAGGCAGAGGAAGCTGCTGGCTAAACGCAAGCCACCCTCCATGGCACAGACTCCACTTCCAAGCCTGGAGCAAAACAAACGCAAAAGCAAAACCAATGGAACTGAAAATGAAGCGTATGATGCACTTGTTTATTCATCTGCTCTTTTACACCAGATGTTTTCCCCTACGTTTCACTTAGATTGGTTCTTGTGTTCTCCCAGGTTATCACAGGCAGAGTACCATGAGCAAGAGGAAATCTTCAAGCTAAGACTAGGCCATCTTAAGAAGGTAAGGCCTAATGTATTTGTGGAAGGTTTTTTTTTTTTTTGCCAACATACTTATTTAACTGCACAACATTTAATATTTATCTTTGTTCCTGCTGCAATCACTGAGATTAACAAGTTGTAGTAATATTTAATTTTGTGCTTATTTTGAGTGATTGTTATTGATTTTTCTCTCTTTTATGTCCTGATTGGTGGAGCCTACTTTTATCATGTTTTATTGCACTGTCTCATGTCATGTTTGTTTGTGCGTTATCTTGCTACAAAATAAATGTACCTGCAGCTACAAATAAAGTAACCTAACCTAACATTGTCCTTTCCAGGAGGAGGCTGAGATCCAGGCAGAACTGGAGAGGTTGGAGCGAGTGCGGAACCTGCACATTCGTGAGCTGAAAAGGATCCACAATGAGGATAATTCTCAGTATGATTTCTTATTGGATGGTCCTTGCATAGTTAGTCTGTGCTGATGTGTCCCTGTGTTCTGTCTAATTACTGAACTTGAATTGGTTTTAACCTTGTGCAGATTCAAAGATCATCCTACGTTAAATGACCGATACCTGCTACTACATTTACTTGGACGGGGAGGTTTCAGTGAAGTTTACAAGGTGAGAACAACTTTGTTTTCCTGTGAAAGAAATGAAGAAAGCTGTTGATTCAAATCTTTGGTGATTTTGTGTGCGTGCGTGTGTGTGTGTGTGTGTGTGTGTGTGTGTGAAACTTAATCTGAGTGGTTAAGTTGTGCAAGTTGGGTGCATTTCATTTACACTAATCTGACATCTTCAGAAATTCAAATGATTGTGCAACTATGTAAGAGCTGTTCCAGGAATCTGCTGTCATTACTGTAAAAAATGATGAATGAACAAAGCCATTTTATATGAAGCAAGAGTCTGGCTGCAGCTAATACAAATTCATGCCAAATGCAGTTCCTAAATGATAGGAGACATTTATGTTCCAGGCCTTTGACTTAACAGAGCAAAGGTACGTTGCGGTCAAAATCCACCAGCTAAACAAGAATTGGAGGGATGAGAAGAAGGAAAATTATCACAAGTGGGTGTTCAGTTTTTTAAAACTATACAAATATATGTTTACTGCTGTCAGATTCACTGTGCGTATCCATATTTAAAGTAAATGTTGAGATGCTCTTTGTTTCAGACATGCATGCAGAGAATATAGAATTCATAAAGAGCTGGACCACCCACGAATAGTTAAGCTCTACGACTACTTTTCACTTGACACTGACTCGTAAGTCATTTCCTTTTTTGATGAAAGTAGTCTTCTAAGAGATGTGTTTGTGCAGATTGTGTTAATTTTAGCCAGAACATTTTTCAATATATAGAGTCTTAACCTTGTTTGGACTTCATGTACTAAATCTTGCTGAAGTGGTTAAACACGTCTTCGTTGTTGTGGTGCAGGTTCTGCACAGTCCTGGAGTACTGCGAGGGCAATGACTTGGACTTCTACCTGAAGCAGCACAAGCTTATGTCAGAGAAAGAGGGCCGCTCCATTATCATGCAGATTGTTAATGCTCTCAAGTACCTCAATGAGATCAGACCGCCTATTATCCACTACGACCTTAAACCCGGTATGTCTACCTATGACTGTGACTTTTGCGCTCTACAAGCCGGCATGATCTTACATCAGCTTCTTTGGCATAGTACTACTACAAATTAAATTAAGAGGAATACTGATTTAGAGGGCCTCTAATTCTGTCATGGGTAATTTCTCCAGTAAGATTAATATGACCCTGTTTATTTTTTATGGCGGAAAATGGGGCACTCATACATTCAGCAGAAATGAATAATACAGTTTTACTGGATAAGTATAGTATTACTGTTATTTTTGACTCAGTAAATAGGGGCTATAAACTCTGGACTCTTTCTTTTTGGCCTGTAATTCATTTTCTCGCCCTCCTCAGGTAACATCCTCCTGGTGAATGGCACTGCTTGCGGGGAGATTAAGATCACAGACTTCGGCCTGTCGAAGATTATGGATGATGACAGTTACAACTCAGTGGACGGGATGGAGCTGACGTCACAGGGAGCAGGGACGTACTGGTAAGATGTACACTGGAAAAAGAAACTCTGCTATGGGGTGCCATCATCTGTGATCTAATATATTGTACTGTTTATTTTTACCACTGAGTCCCGCTCCTCAAGGGTCAAATTTCAGGTTTCATTGCTGATATATTTCTCTGTGTCCCAGTGCTTTCACACACCACAGTGCATTTAGAAGTAAAAGGAGTAATCTTGCTGTAAAGAGGCATTTTATGCTAAAGATGGAAAACAGAATGGCAGAACACAAAGTGAACAGTGCGAGTGTTTTTAGAGGCAGAATCGGCTCAATTCAGTTCACAATCATGTAAATTTGTATGCAATTGTTATCAGTATCTTCAGATACAAATAACGTGGCTTTATCACATGGAAAAGGGTATGAAACCATGATTACAGTACATTACATACATTTATAAGTGGATGCAGTGTTTCAGTGTGCTGTATATAAATTATATACTTGTACTATACTGTTCAGTAAGGTCATTTGACACCCGTGTAGAAATAGAGCCTTGTGGGGAACTAGGGCCATGCTGCATGGTGCACATATGCAGACCTAAAGGTCCCCTAAGCAAGAGGAACCACCCAACAGTTAAATACACTCTGAATCTGACTTTTCATGCACAGTGGTTACTTAGATACCTGCAAAGTTACTACTTCATATGCAAGGATTGACACCAGAGATCATGTTGCAAAAATTGATTAAGGAAGTTTTCATGTTAGAATTGCAAAATGCCACTCGAAACTTTAGTATTGTGTTTGTTGAAACCAATTCATATTAATGTGGCTCCCCTTTTCTCCTTTAGGTACCTGCCCCCTGAGTGCTTTGTAGTTGGGAAGGAACCACCCAAAATCTCAAACAAGGTGGACGTGTGGTCTGTAGGAGTCATTTTCTACCAGTGTTTGTATGGCCGCAAGGTAGGGAGACACTCAACTGGATGAAATGTTGCAACAGGATATTTGAGTTATCAAAGAGTTCTATAGTTATGTTTTTATTACAGCAAAGTTACAAAATATACATCAGGGAAAAGGGTTCATGGTTGTATAAATGTAGTTGTATATAGCGATAAAAAATGTGATTTTGGCAAAAGGAGAGTAACAGTGAACACCAACACACTTTGTGTTTGAGCCTGTCCAGTTTTTATGTTTATTGGGGTTTTTTGTTTGTTTTTGTTTTTGTTTTTTTTTTTGTAATTGATCTCATTACATTTTTTTTTCCGCGCTTTTGGGGAGTGTTTTAATAACGTCCTCCTTCTCTTTGCTTTCTAGCCCTTTGGGCACAACCAGTCCCAGCAGGACATCCTGCAGGAGAACACCATATTGAAGGCGACAGATGTACAGTTTCCCCCAAAACCAGTAGTCACACCTGAAGCTAAGGCACGGTGCTCTTTTTATTTGTCTAATATTTGCATCACATTTATGAATTTTCAACTCCCGCAATACCTCCTTTTTATTCTCTCTTTATACTTTTAATTATTTACATTCACACACCTACTGTACATTTTTAGGATATTATCTTTTTACCCAAACATTGTAAAGGCTGCGCTTTCTCAGTTATCCCACTGTCTTCCTTTCTCACCCCCAGGCCTTTATAAGGCGCTGTTTAGTCTATCGTAAGGAGGATCGCATTGACGTGCACCAGCTGGCCAGTGACCCTTTCCTCATGCCCCATATTCGCAAGTCGGTGGCCTCCTCGGGCACCTCGGGCACAGCTGTGGCCTCCACATCCAGCTCCTCCAACAGCAGCGCCTCAAACTGAGCCCAGGCACTTTGACTGACCGAACCATTTGAAGGGGTGGGGGCGATGCTGTAATGTGTCCTCCCCTCCCATCAGCATCCCACCTTGCCATGAAGAGCCCAAGAGAAACTGGTCAGATGATGGCAAAGGGTGGGTGAAAAGTCATGGACAAGTTGGGAAGGGACACCCATGTCACCATTCATCCCCCTCATGTCAACTTACCCCAGCCTACCTCCCTGTCCTTTGCTCTATAAAAGGTGGCATTGTTCTGGGGGTCAAAGCCCTAGGCGACTCACGCAGCAAGGGGCGAGGTTTGGCACTGTGTTGGTGGAAATTGGGGTTCAGTGTTTGGGATTTTTCTTTTCTGCTTAAAAAAAGAAAATAAACAGAAGTATAGAACTGCTTCAGCTTGACCAGGTGGAAAAGACTGCGGAAGGCCTCATATCCATAAACACTCACACACACACACACACATACACTCATGCATGAGCCATTCTGGACCAAGGTAATCTGAACTCCCCAAGCTCAAACATTTTGTTCTCGATTCCCTGAACCTAGAGAACCAGTCTGGCCTGTAATTGTATTGAACCCTAAGTATCTATGGCACTATGTCATCCAGCTCGCTGTTCTGGGACCCCCTTACTTAAATTCCAGGCCCAGATAGTTTACAACGAGGATGGCCAGAAGATGCTATCCCCTGTACCCCTCCCCTCCCATCACGTCAAACTCCTGTGACCAAAGCTTACAACTTCCAGCTGGTGGCAGTGTTCCACCTGTTTTTATAATGAATGGTTTTAGAGTCGTGTTACTTGATATGGAGTGGAAGCTGTTGAAGAACGACCCCTTTTACATTTTTTTAAAAAACTTTTCAAGTTGATCAGTTTTCTGGAGAAAACCGTTGTGTTTTTCAAGTTGCCTTTAATTAGAACTGTTATTGTTTTGACTGACCCCCTTCCATAAACACACATATTTATTTAGGTATGTTTGAATTTATTTTTGGCCAATAAAATGCAAGGGGCTGGTTTACCTAATAGTACTGTTGAGGGAATAGTGGGCCTTAGCAGAGAGTTGCATAAACCATTAAATACTATTGGTTAAAATGTGTTTGTTGTTCTGGGCTGTTGTCTGAGTGGGTTTACAGTCACTGCTTTGTGTGAGTGAATCACTTCTATTCATGAGCGTTATGTCTGTGCTTAGATTTTATCATTTTTTAAATATCACTTTTTTAAAAAAGTACAAGGTTCTGTAGTGTTTTTTTGTTTTTGTTTTTTTTATTCAAAATCTGCTTTTGCCTTCTGATAAGTGAGAAAATGGGTCAGGAAGCAGCTCGACTGTAATGTCACTGTCTATAGCCTGTTCCATAAATAATCTGAAGAAAGCAGATTTTATGGATTGAAAATAATATCTGTGTAGTGCATGAGTCCAGCAAAGCATCTTGAATCTGGTACAGGTGTGGAGTTGCCCTGCTTCTGTCAGAAGAAGGTGAAGGACAATATTAATGCAGACAGCAAAGCCAGTGTTCACTGGGTTCTCCGTCTCTGCAGCAGCATCTTGAATATTTGACATAGTTTAAGTACAAACTGGCATGCACATGAAACTATAATAGGCCACAAATTGAACATAATCGGCCGACACACTGTCAGGGGCTTCAAACGGTCACTTGACACTGTACGTGCTTATTGGATGGGATACGTCAGCTTTTGGCAGTCAGATCAAGTATGCATTTAGAGTTTATATTTTCTTTATCAGGAAGCACAAAGTGAGAGCAAGTCATTTTACTGCCAAACCATTAAAAAAGTTTGATAAAAGTACTGCATAGGCAGTGAGCACAAGTCTCAATTGGGATGATAGTGGAGGATTATGGGATTTGTTTTGGGTAGAATTATGTTCTACCTTGTCAAGGCTGTCATGGGTCAGCCATACCTTTCTGACATACAGTTACTTAACTCAGCTGTGCATTTTTAAATAAGATTTAAGGATTAAAGCAGATGGTGTGCAGCTTAAGTCCATAATAAAACTGTCATGGAACATATTCTATAGTAGGGGTTTTGAAACTAAGCTGGTGCTTTGCAAACTCAGAGTGAGTGACAAGATGGACTGATGTCTGGCCAAAAAGAAAGTTTAAATTAAAAATTGTGCAGAAATTAAGTATTTTCAGAAGAAATATTCTCATTTTTTTTACAGTAGGAAATTCTGAAAAATAATATAAAGCTTTGCTGTGCTAAAGGCAAAATGGGAGCATTATATTCTTATGGCTGTGACACACCGAGCGACTGTCGGGGTGTCCTGCATCGTTGGCACTACTTAGACCCTGTCTGTGGCTTTTCGGTCAATATGTTGAATTGGCATTGGCCTGCCGGGAGAGACCACTCCGATTGGGTGTTCAACTTAGCAATCAGTGCACCAAAAGAAAGCAGTTCAGGGAAAGCCCCTTCAGCCCTCTGCTGTAATATCCATGATTTCACACATTTAGTGTGTTTCTCCTTAGATTTCTCTTCCATGACCCCCTTTCTTCTCCAAGATGATACTTTTATTGGCCAAGTATGTTACACACACAAGGAATTTGTCTCCACATGTTCACGTATCCACATGTTGAAGTGTCCTTGGGCAAGCCACTGAACCCCCAAGTTGCCCCTGATGCCATCAGTGTGAGTTGGTGCCTCGGTACCAGAAACAGATTCCTTGTGTGTAACATAGTGGCCAAATAAAGGTGATTATTATATTTAACTCACACACACCAATGGTGACGCTGACCAAGCCATCAGGGGCAAATTGGGGTTCAGCATCTTGCCCAAGGACAGGTCCACATGTCAACGTGGGAGAACAGGAATCGAACCGCTGACCTTTTGGTAAGGTGTAAAAAGTTTTAATCATTTTTATCAATTTTTTTCTCTCATTTACTAAAATGATGCCTCATTTATAAGATTAAATGTAAAAGATATGCATTTTTAGACTTGGTTGCTATTTAGAGGCCTCTTACGGGCGCCATTAGGTCCCCGGCCCTCATGTTGGGAACCATACAAACACACACACACACACACACACTGTTGAAACTGACGCTGCTCCATTCATTGCAGTCTGAGGCAGACGGAGCTCTGTCGGTCAAACTCGCCACCAACACTGCATCTTCCGTCCTCGAAGTCAAACACTCCGCAGCTTCTCCGGCGTCACTTTTTTCCTCCTTCCCTTTTTTACCCCAGAGTGTGCGCGGAGTGCGTTGTAGTTGTGAGCATGCACGACGACGACCGCCACCGAAACAAGGATTCAAGAAGAACATGGACAAATCGACAACTTATATTTTACAAATGCACTTTATATTTATTCATCTTCAGTCTGGAACTGAAGGGGAGCGTTACGGGTGAGAAAAATCTCAATTCTCGCCTCATTTCATTCACGTTAAAGTCGAAAAACCGGGCAAACATTAAAGCTGTTGTGCATGCTGTTGTTTTCGTAACTTGCAGTCACAAAATGCTTTAGAAAGCAGTTACTGAGGACTGTTTTCTGCGTGTTCTGGATTTGGTGGTTTGGTATGCCACGAACCAGAAGTCCGAGCTGTGAATGGAACCAGATGTGGAGCAAAACTGGGGGAGGAGGAGAAAGGCTGCAGGCTTCGTCTCTCTGTTGTGATTATGCACAAAGTTTTTTAAAGCTGCAAAACAATGCACTTTTAGTTTTTTGTTTTTTTTTTCTGTTTTTGCAACGGATAGTTTTTAGGCTACATTGTAAACTTGACGTGGAGTGAGTGACGCTTCATTTGGATCCCTGCGGCCAGATGTGACCTTTACATCCTGTTACAGGCTGCAATTAACACACAGCACTGC